ATGTGTGTGTTTTATGTCTTTCCGGACATGTCAACGTACGAAAATATTAAAATTGATGCGAAGTATGTAAGTATCAGAAGATGAAGATATAAATTCATCAAAATTTATACCGATGTTATCAGACTGGTCGAGCTAAGCCATATGCATCTGTCCGTCATTTGAGATATATTTTTATATTCTGCTAGCGATACCTTGGTGTATTTCAATATACTGAAACAAATATTGAAAAATAAATAGAGAAAGAGAAAGAAAGACTTCTGGTCTTTTATATTAACATTTCAATCAATTCTGTTATTTCATTAGTTTGATCATTTTCTAGGTTATGCGTGATTAAAATTTCATTTTAACAATACCAAGGTACTCCTGAATGATTTAATATTTCATCAGTTTTTTTATGCTCCCTTGACCAACCACCCCAAGCAAATAGCGTAAGTGAGTGACCCATAACAACTCCGAACGGCCGCTAGATTTTTATGAAAAGCTTTTTTTCATGTCAGAAATACACTCGGAGCGCTCTACGTTCTCTCGAGAGAGGCGACCGTAATTAGAAAAATTAATTAAAAAATTATATACTAGTTATAATTTTGGAAGTTGGTCGAATAGCAGTGCATAATGCTAACCACTAGGCTATTGCGGCCTTATACACGGTGTGTCCCAAAAATAACCGAACTTTTGGTATATAATATAAAATACACATTATATTATCTTTGAAAGTTATTATTTATTCAAAATAGGTTCCATTTGACTCAACACAACCAGCGCATGCATAGATTTTTTTTATGTCATTTATAGAAATGTTCCGCAGTACCTCGGTTACAGCTGCTTGAATAGCTGGGATATCATCATAAAATACTCCCTTCATTTTGGTTTTCAGTTTTTAAAATAAAAAATAGTCACATGGTGATAGATCAGGAGAATACGGAGGATGGTCCATGAGAGAAATCGCTTTTTTCATTAAAAATTCGAGCGATTTTTTGGTCGTCATTTAATTCATGTGGAACAAATCGCGCACAGACCTTTCTTTTCCCCAAATCTTCAGTTAAAATTTTCCAAATAGTGTTTTTGCTCGTATTCAATTTCTCAGCCAACATTCTCGTAGTAAAATTTGCATCGATACCAATGATTTCATGAACTTTTTCCACCAGTTCAGCACGATTACTAGTTTCTGTACGTCCTGCTCTAGGGTAATCATTTAAATCCTCACGACCACTTTTAAATCGTGTAAACCACGTATAAACTTGCGTACGACTCATACAATCATCACAATAAACTTTTTTCATTCATTTTTTTTTTCAAGTTTGACACAAAATTTTATATTTGCTCTTTGCTCCATTTGATTTTTAAACCATTAGCACACTTTGGGTTTTATTGAAATGGCTGTCACTTTTACATCTTTTATGTTAGGTGCGTTTGAAAGAGGATGAATGTATCTTTTTAATGCTGCAAATTTTCAATAGATGGCGCTGTATGTTGTATGATTTAAATATAAAGTTCGATTATTTTTAGGACACACCGTGTATGTATTAATGTTTAATTTCTGTCATCAATCTTTTTAATAAAGCTTTTCCTAAAAATCATATATTCAGCTTTATTCCCATTTTGTGTGAGATATTTATTATTTCCACAATTTTATTATGTAAAAAATTTTAAAATGTTGGCACCCCGTAAAAAGATTTTGTCCTAAAAGCCTTCATAATCACTTTTAGTTTACTAGCCCAAGAAGAATGTTTGATTTTTAATTAATTAAAATTTTTAAACAAGCAGGGCTGCTCAAAATTTCTCTTTCCTTTAGCTATACAAATCTCTTTATATCGATAACCATATATTATATTATGAATTCTTTCAAATTAAAATTTTTAAATAAATGCTAAAGCTGCTAAAAATACGTTCCCGTAAGTCTGCTGAATTTTAAAATTTAAATTTTCTCGAGTTCTTTGATGCTAAGCCAGTAGTACCCTTTAGAATTCGAAAAAACGGTTTTCCAGCAATCTTTCTGAAATAATGGAATTCTCCATTGCTATGATAAGTCTGAACTCGTGAAACGGTGCCGGCGATGGAGGTCGTGCGCCGCATCTGAAACCGTCGAACCAAATATTTTTTTAAATTTATATGTGTATCTTTTCTATAGGAACTAAAAAAAAATAACGAAGAAGCTGGAAAATTCCAAATTTTTACGTTTATTGTGGTATTTACAGTAGCAAAAAGTCACTGATTTATCAAACAGCCCTCGTATAAGGTTATTCATTTGCCGAAACCAGCCAGATAGGACTATTTTAACTCCCCATCTTCCCCTCTCTCACCTACCGATTAGGTTCAGATATGCGATTTTAGGTTAATAATCCTTGGAAAAATAATCGAAGAGCGTGAAATTTGGTGTTCTACATAAATCAAGTCATATAGCCTCCTCTACAAACCGATTTTCCAGATATACCATAAATTTGATACAATATGTTCGTGAAAGTTATAATATTTCGCCATGAGTGAGGACAGCGCTTCTTTCTTGTTTTTATTTATCTCGCATAAATCAAAATTTATTTGCCAACCCATTGCTGCCTGTTTCGCCTATATACTTATATATGTATATAAGTAAATACTCGCAAGCTCTTATTAGGCACAATGCAGGATGTGACAGTGTTTGCTTTAGAAATATCATTTTTTTTTTCATTGTTTGCGCATACCTCAAGTGATTTATTACCCTGCGAAACATGACAAGCGACATGACAACCAAATTCGCCTATAAATGTACAAATAATATTACCGCTAAAATTGGGTGTGGAAAATTTGCTCAAAATAACATACTTTAGGGAATTCTGGTATATTTTTTTTTTGTTCTGATTTGTTTATTTAATAAATTTTTGAGTTTTTTAATTAGTTGACTTTTCACTTAAATCATGAAAACAGGAAAGAACCATGTTTTAGAGTTTATCTCTTATATACTTTGAAAAACTGTTGCGGACACTGTCTAGATTTTATACGATGGATGAGACGACCGACCTGAAAAAATACCGCCCACAGAATGGCGTTAGTTTTGGCTTCAAGGACAAGATGATCATAGATCATAATCAAACAAACAGTCGGCGCGGTTAAGGCATGAGCCTCACGTGACTGTTGGCATTTTAAACTTCGCGCTAATAGATAATTACCTCTATGTACAAGTCCCTCATCATTCCCGGCCAACTTTATGGTGCAGATGTTTAGACGATGTCGAGAGAAGTGCTTTCGAACTATGTTTATGTAGACTCTGCACCATACTTTACCAAAGCTAAGATTCTGGACAACCGGACAACCGCGTTCGCCCACTTTAGACTCAAGACATGTTTGAATGAACATCTCGAAGAGCTATCGACGTAAGCTTAAATTAGAAATTTGCAGAGAACCAGTCAAATTTGCAGCAAGCCAACGCAGCTGCTCACATTTAGATGGTTGTCATGGCGTTTTACTTACCAGATTTAGGCCCATACAACTTTTTTTTTGTTGTTGCGCTCGGATAATAGAGATTTTCGGCATATATAGAGCGAAGCAACTTCGTTTATAATTATTTTCTAGAGAAAACCGCCGAGCCCTATTTTGATCGGTTACAGTTTGCGGAGCAATACTCGGAAAATTGCGTAGAATTATAAGAAAACCAATTCTTATATATATATTTTTTTTATTAGGAGGCTTTTTAAAATAAAATGTAAATATCTCTATTAATTAGAAAAACAACACGATTCACAACACGAAACGGAGGAGTAGCTCGGCCGAAAACCGCTATAGAAATTTAAAGGCGTCAATTATTTATGAACGAACATTATGTGGGCGGCTGCAAGAACCGTGTGGCCAGCATTACGTACTGCTATTCGTGGGGCCAGAGTTCGAGTCCTGTTTCAATCAAAATGCTAAATTATAGATTCTTTCTTTCTCTATTTGGGATCAGACTACAACAGGGAATGTCAAGCCTTCTGAGTGTATTTCTGGCATGAAATTAAGTAAAAAATATCATCATAAAAATCCATCGACGTTTTAAAGGTGACTCAGATATAACTGTAAGTCACTCCAATTCTCGGGAAAACATCATAAGGGCAAACTGAAACTCGCTTCAGCATTTTATAAATGAACTAGTATTTAACTAGTATAAGCCTGATGCGTAATTGGAACTTCGCAAGTCATCAGCGTATTAATAAATAACTAAGGCAGCAAAATTTACTGCCATTCGGAAGGTCCAGTTTTGAATCCGGCTCCGATAAAGACGTAAAAAATTAATTTAAATAAAAAACTAAGTTAAAATTTTCTAATTGCGGTCGCAAGGAATGCCAACTCCTCCGAGTGTACTTCTGACATGAAATAAAGGCTCATCATGAAAAAATCATTAGCAGTTCGGAGGCGACTTAGTATAAACTTTAGGTCTCTAGACGAAAAAATATCAAAGACGCAAAACCACAAATCGGAGGAGGGGCTTAGTCGAAAAATTGCTTCAGCGGTTATAATGCGCCAATTATTTATATATGTATATAAGATAGCAAAATGATGGATGAGCAACTAGTTTTACAAATTTATTGCTGAATTACATAATCTTATTTTGATAATGAAAACAACTGGAAAATTAGCTTTTGTGAATATATCTCTGTTTCTTTTTCCCTTTTCCCTTATATTACCATATAAACAATTTTTGAAAGGTATAAAAATATGTCAGTCAATTTCTTGCAGGGTTTTATGTAGTTGTTGTATATGCAATTAAAACATTTTAGTTGCAGAAAGCGCTTATTATTTAAAAGTTTTCGCAGGCAAATCACATTGTATATGAGTTTCCACGTACATTCATACAGAAAAGTATGTCCATAACATTGTATAAAATTTCGCTAACAAATAAATTTAATTTAACACAAACTTTGTGAAGCAGTTAAAAGTATACAACAGCATTGCTATCTGCAGAATTTTTGTTTACCATTGAAAAGTTGTTCATTTCCACATCACATAATTCTAACAGCAGATTTCTGAATATTAACAAATAACCTTGAGAATAAATTTTGGCAAGGAATTTGCTTAGTTTAGAGACTAGGCAGATGTCCAATTACTTTTATTTATTTCTACAATATCTAATTCTTCACAAGAGGCTATAATTAGTTGGAATTTTAAGTATAATAATTTTTAAATATAAATAATTTCCGAAAACAACCAAAACTTTACATCTTCCTTTTTGAGCGAATTAAATTAAACATATAATTAGGTCAAGTTAAAAGTAATCCATTATTTTGGCATTTAATTGAAGTCTTCATTTAGCACAGTTAGAATTTTCCGATTGATGTTAAATACCCGCCGATTTGCTCGTTTACTTTTCGTAGTTTTGAATGTAATACGATTATGCCTGTCTCCTTGAAACTCACAAAAAATTAGAACAATTGGGGATTTTCGCAAGCTTTTCTTAAGGCCAATTCTTCAACAACCCAAGCATTCGGCGCAGACAGCGGAAAGTGGTCAGCGGTTTGAACTATAAGATGCATATTCATAAAACCAACCATGCTCACGGAGCTTCTGTCGAGCCATTATCGATACATGGGATCTTTACAGGTCCGAATTAAGAATTTGGCTTACATGTAGACTAGAAATGGTTATAACCTTTGCAGGTATTACACATTATCTTGGCGTTTTGCATGTCAATAATGCGTTCCAACTCACTCTGATCCGGCATCCAGCTCTTTCGGAAATCTCATTATGCATCGTTTTTGATGACTTTTGTATATTCCTCTTTGGTTCATTAGTAAGACGAATAGCATTTTTGATTTGCAGATCTGGCACCCACTTCATCAGCCTTTTTCGATACACTTTTTCGATACACCCATGTAGATATTATACATTCCACTGGCGGGTCCCAAGTTTTTGCGTCGTCTGCCGTTCTTAAACATAGCTTGAAATTCTCAAATCCCCAATAAGGCATACCCTTTCTATTTTGTTCTCCATAGAGAGCTGTGCCTATCGGGGAATTTACCTAAGGCCATCAATCTCATGGCTGATTTTACTGCAGCTCTCTTCACTGCAATGTCGAGTGGTAGTAGGTCAAGTAACTTTTCAAGTGTCGCCATTAAACTAGTCTTCAGCACCCCTAAAAATAGCCAAAAAAAAAAAAAAAACAATCGTAAAATAAAATAAAACTTGCTTTAAATATATTCATTTCTTTCTCATAAATTAAAATAAAAAGGTGGATGCTTTTTCCGTACCAGCATAGTAAAATATAATATAACAAAAGTCTGGTCTAAAATTTGAGGCACAAAAATTTAATCGTTCTTTTATTACGGTTGCTTGATTAACTTCTAATACTTTTGCAAGTTCTTCTTGCGTCTGGCATGCATCTGCGTCGAGCAATGTCGCCAATTCTTCGTCTTGAAATATTTTTTGGCTCTCCGTCGTCTAAGTCGAAATGGTTACTTTTAAGCCATGCAAACCACTTTTGGCACATTTGTTCGGCTAAAGCATGCTCACCATAAACGTCCAGTAAAATATGATGGCTTTCGGTAGCACTTTTCTTCATGTTAAAGTAAGGAAGAAAAACTCGCCGCAAGAACACTTTTTCTGGTACAAATTTCGACATTTTCCAACAAATTGTTGTTCACGCTAAAACAAATGAAATCTACTGAAAATGACGCGAAATGACAGTACCTTTGAAATCAATATAGCCACAGATGAACACGACGCGAAATATTAGTGGAGCCCTCTCTCAGAAACCCGCACGAATTAATGCATACACCTAATAAATTCTCGTAAACACATAAAATTTGTTGTTATTTCAATTCTTTTTCAAATTTTTTTTATTTATATTTTTTCATAAAAAAAATATTATTTTGACTTTAAATTTTCGAAACTACACTTCATTTATGAAAATAGGTCTCGGAAAAATTTTGTATTTTCATATTTCAATTTTCAGTTTTATTTTTCCTTTCTTTAAGTAAAAATGATAAATTTATTTATTTTATTGCTTTCACTATATACATATGTAGGTACTCACTACTACTTCGTGTTGAATTTAAGCTCACGCTCAAGAAGAACCACTCAATTTGTAGTAATAAAACAATAAAATCCACTTAAAGGGCATGAAAAGGGCATTGAAAAAGGACAAATAAATATTTTGTTTATGTTTGTGTAACCGAAAAGCACTTAAAGCAAAGAGAGAGATAATACTTGACCTTTACTGGTTAATCCGACCAATCAATTTTTTAGGCTCTTTCTTGTTATTTACATAGATTTTTCTATAACAATTTTTAGCTTGTAGCTGTCGACAGAAATTGATTGTTTGTTTCTATTATTTATTAATGAATTTAATTTGAAAAATTGAATAAACAGATTTCACTAAACCGCACGTAAATTTTAAATTGAAAAAAAGAAAGATAAGCGGCTTTCAATTTTTTGTTGTTAAATTTGTTTGGGAAATAGTTTGAAGTTGCTTTTGTATACTTGTGGAAATAAAAAAATATATTACTTAACTGAGGAACTTTGTTTATTTATAAAAAAGAATAGTGAAACGCGGCCGCAGAAGCTGGAAGAAACAGTTAATATTGCGCACTAACATTTGTATGGCTAGAGTCAGGGACCGCTTCGGACCAACATCCGGAACTATAGAAAACTCTATTTTCGAATTGTGGTCGCCCCTCGGCAGGGAATGTCAAGCCCCCTGAGTGTATGAGTGAAAACTAAAGCTCTTCATAAAAATCGCGCAGCCCTGCTGAAGTCAATTATTATATACTATAGGTCCGCCATAGGTGGGAAAAACAAAAAAAACAAAAAAATAAAAATAAAAAAAAATAATAAAAAATAAGGAAGGGCCAGGCTGATAATCGCTTCTTCAAAAATTGCAAGAAAAAGTTACATATCGTGAGTTTTAGGTAAAAATAAAAATGAAAAAGCAATTCCTCGACCCAAAAATCAGTAGAATACCATGAATTTCCAGCAGAATTCCAATAATGTATAGAATTTGATTATAGTTTTCCTGTATACAGCGTAGTTAAACATTATATTCCACAAAAAAACATAACCAGATCTATCCTGGAAAATTCCGTTTTGGGGTCTTATTAATTAAAGTATGGCGGCCACGGTATCGAGTGGTTAGCTTTGAAAGGTTCGAGTTCAAATTCTGGTACGAGCAACATCCAAAAGTTATAGAAAATTAATTTAAATAAAAAAATTAAGCTACCTTTTCTAATTCTGCTCGCCCCTCGGCTGGGAATGTCCACCCCTCCGGGTATATTTCTGATATGGAATAAAGGCTCCCTATCACTTGTTCGGAGACGACTTAGAATAAACTTTAGGTCGCTCCATTTGTTGGAAAAATATCAAGACGCAAAAACACAAATCGAAAGAGGAGGGAGGGCTCTGTCAAAAATTGCTTCAACGATTACAAAGCTCCAATTATATTAGGTGTACAACTTTCGGATCCCAGCTCGAAAAAGGAGTCCTCTTTTGACGCTATCCATGAAGCAATCCATTTTTCCAATTCTTCGAAGGATTGAAAATGTTGTACTACCAGGCCGTGTGCCATCGAACGGAATAGGCGAAAGTCGGAATGGGGCGACATCTGGGGAATACGGCGGGTGGGGCAAGACTTCCCATTTCAGCATTTCCAGGTACTTTTTTACCACTTTTGTGACGTGAAGCCGAGCATTGTCGTGTTGGAGGATGACTTTGTCAGGTCGCTCTTGATATTGTGGCCGCTTTTCTTTTAGCGCGCGACTAAGGCGCATCAGTTGCGTTCGGTAGCGATCTCCTGTGATGGTTTCACCCGGTTTTAAGAGCTCGTAGTAAATCTTTGAAGGTTTTTTCTCTTCCACCACCATTTTTGTCTTCGACATCGAAATCACCATTTTTAAAATGTTGATACCACTCCTGCCACGTTCTTTCACTCAGAGCAGCATCACTGTAAGTTTCTGAGAGCATTCGATGCGCTTCACTGCATTTTTTTTTTTTCGAATTGTAACAGAAAAGTAAAACTTCCCGCAAATGGTGAGAATTAGGCACATAAACGGACGAAAACAAGAACAACTGTCACTGAAACGGCGATGACAATTCGTCCACACTCACTTTAAAGGCATTATCATCTATGTATTTCAACCAGCCTCAGCCGGTACAGTCACCTAACGGCGAAAGCAAAGTTGTACACCTGATATATAAATGACCAAGCGGTGGAACACTTCATTTTAATTATAAAATGAGTCGCCTTCATAAACAGTGATGACCAACAAGCATGCCTTTAATTTTTTTTTTTTGGAGCTCAACATGGCTGAGTGGAAGACCAGAACTGGCGTATGGCTAACTGATTAAATGTTAGTCTGTCTCATAAAAACCACGCCCCGAAAAAAGCAAAATGTCCATCGCTACCTTGGTAGCGACAACCGCCGCCTGAAAAATACTGCAACGGCATGGTAGTTTGAACTCCTTGAAGCTGGATAATGTTGGACGGAATACTACTGTGCCGAACTTTCCACCAAGCTTCAACCAATTAGTGAAGAACTACAGTGCACCATTTATTTTGAGGTTCTGCACCCTCCAGTTCCGGGAGTAGGAACTGCTCACCACTAACTCTAAGTTGCAATAATCTGGGCCACGGCGAATGAAATAGTGTCTTCTCAAGAACAGTGAGTGCGCTATGATCGAGCCGACCAAAAAATCATACTTCCTGTGCCTCACTGCAACCTTGGCAATGGTCATCTGATAAAACTTTTTCCAAAACGTCAGTAGAATTGCTCATATTTTTTCTATGATTTACGTAACATCATGGCTCAGTTACGATGTGAAGGGTGTTCCAAAATTAACGCATGAATAGAATTTAATAAAGAAGACAGTTTTCAGTCTTTCACTTATAATTGTTTTCTTGAATTATAAAGTTCATATGATGGGTATATTGGAATAACATATGGAGAAAATAGCTCCAAGGGCTTTCCATGTACTTTGGTGCTCGCTTGACGAAATTTTTCCAAGACTTCCAAGATTCTTCATAAATATGGCTGAATTTTATGTTTATATAGCGTTGATACTCCTCCTTTAAAGAACGCGTGCTTGTGAGTCTAATGCAATAGACCTGTGATATTAAATGACTCCATGAAAAGATATCTAATGGTATTAAAACGCACGATCTAGGGAGCCGATTCTGATCACTATAACGAGAGAAAATGAAAATTTCTCAAGCAGTAATTATTGTATGAAGCGCTGTATGACAAGCGATACCGTCTTGCTGAAACCACATATTAGCCGCCACATCAACATCACAAAAGAACAAAGTTATCATGACGCGACATCGAGCACCGGCAACAGTCATTGCTTGACCTGCCCAATTTTTAAAAAGTATAGTCCATTTATGCCTCCAGTCCGAAATCCACATCAAACAGTGACTCATTGTGGTTGCATTTATTTTTCGACAAGCACGTGTGGGCTTCCAAAAAACCAGTAATTTTGACGATTAACAAAACTATCGAAATGAAATTGTTTGGCATGATTTTGCTCAAAAAATCAGCATCCATTTGAATAATCCATTAAGCATATACTACTTGTTGTTGCAAATTTTCAAAGCAAGAAAACTCAGATCTTTAGTGAGTATATGCTCTAGAGAGACTCTTTTGAATTTGTCAATTCTTGTCCACGACAAAAGGTTCCTTTATTATCAACGACACTCACACGCACTGCTTTGATACTGTTATTAGAACGTGTGTCGGGCAACTTCAACAGATCGTGTGTCTCGGATCATCTCTTCAAAGTTAAAATATTATTCCGAGCATATTTGGTGTGAAATTTTCGAACAGCAGCGGTCAGACTTTCACTACTTTTGAAATATTGCTCAATAATAAAGACACGTTTTACTATAGTGTAAAGACCCGCCTTTGCTAAGCTTAAACTGTCCGCTGCCGATTTGTTGTTTTTTTTTAGGTTTTTCAACGCTTTACTATAAAAATGGCTGCACATTTAAGTCTTGCATTAAATTTGGTACACCCTGTAAACTTATGTACATATGCATGTTATGTTCAGACAGGGCGTATGAGTAATATAAAATGAAATTTTTTCTAGAGAAACGATAGATACAAAGGCAATCATTTCTACCTGAAAATGTGTGCGATTGGAATGCAGTTCGCCGAATTCAATGCCTAATGACCTGATTTATTTTCTCTATACAAACATATGTATATTAGTATATATCTTTTCGATTGAATATGCCGTACAATACGAACCTAACTCTCACATAACAATACATACAACTACAAGGTACATAAATATATATATACTCAGAAGCGCTTTATAACCACTGCAGCAATTTTCGGCCAAGCCCCATCAGCAATTTTTGGTATGTGTCTTTGAAAATGCGTCCAAAAATCCAAAAGCCTACAGTCTTTCTTAATTTT